AAGTATAAGACCCGGAATCAAACCGAACCCGATTCAACCAATAGAGGTAGTCAGCTTGACAATTCATACGAAAATAAACCGGACCCACACACAATTCATCCTTAACCAAGGAGAAAATCCACAGTAAAAAGGCATAAAAGACATAGAACATAACAGCAAAATGTGAACCGAAGGGCTTGACCCGCGACCCCTCTGACTCACCTCTAGTGCGCGGCTGGTTCAATAGTGGAGGTTAGGTTGAGATTTAGGGATGGCCACGATGGTGGCCAGGGAGGCGGTGGTGATGACTGGGGTTTGGTGGAGGTTGGATTAGGGTGAGGGCTGACTTGGGGGGAGTAGTGAGGGGGCTAGGGCTCGCCGGGAGTGAGGAGGAGATACTGGCCGTGGGATTTGGAAGGTTAAGAGGAATGAGTGAGTGAGGCGTGAGAGTGAGGGTTATTTGGGGATAAGTGGGGCAACTGGGATGTAGATGGTAATGAAAAATGTGGTTGTATATGATAACGGTTAAACCTTAACCGCTATCTAAAATATATTTTAGATAACGGTTAACAGGGAACCGCTATTATATATTTTCAAATATAATCGATCATTTGAAAATTTAATCGATCATAATAAAAAAATGTGATTGTATATGATAGCGGTTCCAGTGGAACCGCTCTTAAAAGTGAACTTCTAATATCGGTTAAAACTTAACCGCTATCTAAAATATATTTTAGATAGCTGTTATCGTCGAACCGCTTATTATATATTTTCAAATATGATCGATCATTTCAAAATATAATCGATCATAATGAAAACTTACATTAACTATTTTTTTGAATATTATGTTTTTAAATTTGCTATTAGAGAAAACGTTTCAGAATTCAAAATGTTAAATACTTTTAAATATTAAAATTAACTTTATCAAAAATTAGGAAAAATAAAATTAATCCAAAAGAGTTCAAAAATGTATTATAATATTGTTAATTTTGAGTTTAATTATATTTTTCATTCTCAAAGTAGAAAAATATATTGTAATTATTTTAATTTAATAAAATATAATTTAAATTTTTAATACTAAAATTAAAAGATTAAATAATAATAAATTTAATTCTTTAAATTTAGTATTTAGAAACTAAAATTATAGTTTCTCTGTTTTAAAAAATTAAAATAAATATTTAAAAATAAAAATCAAAACTAGTATTATCTTAAATTTATTAAAAGTATAATTAAATCTCTATTTTCTTAAATTTTTCTTTTTAAAACTTCTCAATTCTACATTTTTGTAAATTCTATCATTATATTATCATCCTCATCTCCTCCCATGTTCTACTTTATCTTTACAATAGTTAATATTCTTAAATAATTTATATTTTTATTTATAATTTTTTAATATATATTTGAGAAATTAATCAATTATAATCTATTATTTGACAAACTAATCAATTCTAATCAATTATTTAGAAAAGTAATCGATTATAATTAATTATTTGAAAAAATTATCAAATATGATCGATCATTTGAAAATTTAATCGATCATAATAAAAAAATGTGGTTGTATATGATAGTGGTTCCACTTGAACCGCTCTTACAAGTGAACTTATAATAGCGGTTAAACCTTAACCGCTATCTAAAATATATTTTAGATAGCGGTTATCGTGGAACCGCTATTATATATTTTCAAATATGATCGATCATTTCAAAATATAACCGATCATAATGAAAACTTACATTAACTATTTTTTTGAATATTATGTTTTTAAATTTTCTATTAGAGAAAACGTTTCAGAATTCAAAATGTTAAATACTTTTAAATATTAAAATTAACTTTATCAAAAATTAGGAAAAAAAATTAATCCAAAAGAGTTCAAAAATGTATTATAATATTGTCAATTTTGAGTTTAATTATATTTTTCATTCTCAAAGTAGAAAAATATATTGTAATTATTTTAATTTAATAAAATATAATTTAAATTTTTAATACTAAAATGAAAAGATTAAATAATAATAAATTTAATTCTTTAAATTTAGTATTTAGAAACTAAAATTATAGTTTCTCTGTTTTAAAAAATTAAAATAAATATTTAAAAATAAAATTAAAACTAGTATTATCTTAAATTTATTAAAAGTATAATTAAATCTCTATTTTCTTAAATTTTTCTTTTTAAAACTTCTCAATTCTACATTTTTGTAAATTCTATCATTATATTATCATCCTCATCTCCTCCCATATTCTACTTTATCTTTACAATAGTTAATATTCTTAAATAATTTATATTTTTATTTATAATTTTTTAATATATATTTGAGAAATTAATCAATTATAATCTATTATTTGAAAAACTAATCAATTCTAATCAATTATTTAGAAAACTAATCGATTATAATTAATTATTTGAAAAAATTATCGAATATAATCGATTATTTGAAAATTTAATCGATCATAATAAAAAAATGTGGTTGTATATGATAGCGGTTCCACTAGAACCGCTCTTAAAAGTGAACATCTAATAGCGGTTAAACCTTAACCGCTATCTAACTATATTTTAGATAGCGGTTCACTTGGAACCGCTATTATATGTTCACTTTTAAGAGCGATGAAAATATTAACCGCACTTAAAAGTGACAAATATTTTATTTATTTATTGACACATTTTTGCATCGAGATATCGCTCGAGCGAGACCAAGTGTCGCTCAAGCGAAATACAACCCGAGAATGCCAATTTTGTGCGGTGGCGTCGCTCGAGCGATGTTATTTTCGCTTGAGCGAATGTTGACTGCGAAATACGTGACCAATGTCTTTCTCGCTCGTGTTCATCTTAGTCTACAATTTTCATGAATTTATTGTTGAATAATTGGTTCGTTAGTCTGTTTAATTTGTAAATAGTTTATTATGAAAGTGGTGTTGAAAGTGTTTTTCCACTTCTTGGGTTACAATATACAAATCTGGTCAATGAATAGTTTAATTAAATAATATATTTATTATCTAATGTATATTGATATAAATTTTTTTCGGTATATCAATTATATGACAACAACCATGATTAAGTAATTAATAATAATAAAGCAATAAATTTAAAAATTAGATTAAAAATAAAGTATTATAAAATAAAATTGTAATAATTTGATTAAAATTGTATTTTTTTAATTAATTAAGTTAATGAGGAATTAAAATGTGATAATTTGATGTGTTTAATTTTTTTAATATAAATTTTTAAAATATAATTTAATTTCAATTGAAATTTTCAATTGAAAAATAAATTCAAGAATATTTGTTATTAAATTTTTCTTAAACAATGTATTGAATAGTTAACATCACTCTAGTCTTAATTTATTACAATTTAAATTTTTAATAAATTTGATTTATTACAATTCATTTTGTTAATATTGAGACCAAAGTTTATTTTTAAAGTATATTTTAAAAATTAAATTATTTTTAAAAAAGAAATTACTTTTAAAAAATAAATTGTAAAAAATATACTAAAACAATTAAAGTATATTTATAAAAAAATAAATTTAAATATAATAAAAAAATAATATTCATTAGCGAATCGATTTCAATTCGATCGCTATTTTCTCATTAGCTGATCGATTTTAATTCAGATCACTATTTCAATTTGTAATTCGATCGCTAAATCAGTCGCTAAATGATTTTTTTATTTTAGTATGAAATAGCCATCGATTTAGCGATCGAAATTTTGCGACGCAAAATATTGGTCGCTATTTCGGTCGCTAAATAAAAAAGTGAAAACCAAATCATATTTTGGTCGCTAAATCGAGTCGCTAATTGCGACCGAATTAAAGTGGTCATTGAATCGATCAGCTAATTGCGACCGAATTAAAGTGGTCGCTAAATCGATCGCTAATTTCGATGGCTAAATATTTTTTTCTTGTAGTATATTGTTATGATCATATTACTACTATGTTCTATTATATATCAACTTGTATAAATGTTATTGTGTTAGTATATGAACAAGTTAGACGTGGAATAAACGAAATCAAAAGGATATAAATTTATTAAATTTCAATCCATCTACAAATGAGGATATATAAGTTTAAATACAATAATATATATAAATATGGATGAATGAGTAATATATATTTAAGGATTAGTTTTTTAATCATAAATTAATTTGTTTATCGTACCATATAGTTTCTATTGACATTATAATTATTCTAAAAAATTATAGTAATTTTTTTCTACACCAAAAAAGCCAGTCAAGAAATAAAAAGTCAATTAGAAAGATAATTTTATCTTTATTCAATAAGTTTTAAAAGTCTAAATATATATTAACTAATATCTATCATTTTTTTTCATTTAGAATTTTGTTTGAAATTTGTAATTCATTTACGTTAGAAAATTATTTAATAGCTATCATAATTATTATATTTATAAACTTTCAAAATAATTTGTTTCTCATTCATTCAGATGTAACAAGCAAACAAACTCGCTTTGAACATGACTACTATATCATCTATTGGATAAAATCATAATTTATGCGAGTATTACTATTTTTTGAACAAAAATAATTCATTTCAATATTTATTTAAGTTTATTTACTTTTATGAATTCTGCATATTAATAAAAGTTCAATTGATATTTCAGATTTTTTAATACTCATTTCCATTATTCCAATATCGTGACACATAAAAAAAACAACAAATAAGATTTTTCTTTGTTTGAAATATATAATATTTAGTTTTTTATGATTAGTTGGTCTTGTATGTGTAGTTTAACTTTTAAGATAGTTGAATAATCTAGTTGATATTTTAAAGTCTAATTTTGGAAAGAAGTCAATATTCATGTTAATGGTACCGACAAAGATTTAATGTTTTTTGTTCAAACATGAAATCTTTGTACGTTAGATCTTGTACCAATCTCACCTAAATTTAGGAAGAGATTATAGAGCGTATGATATAAAATTACGTTAATTACTCGTATGTAAAAAAACACATATTAGTAGTAAAAAGTCTACTGTGCTACGGGAAGATATTATGGACGATTATTTTGAGTGATTTACGTTCCGTAATTCACCCATTCTCATAAAGACATCAGAATCATAGTCTTCTTTGTCCATGAAATTTCTTTCAATCATACATAACCTAACTTTTACAGATCTTATTGTTCAACTAATTTAATATAGTTTTTTAACTGTTATTTGTGTTGTTTATGGATAATGAAATTGCTTAACGTTTGTGTTTATTTAACTCGGTTGAGCACCATTGGTGAATTTCTCCCTTACTCCTTTCGCAAGTAGCCAACACAAAACGCACCTTCTGCACCATCCACTGCTCCATGTTCAGGTTTTGGCCTATAAATACATAAATTGCATTGAACTAAAGCCACAGTCTAAGCACCCATTGCAGCAAATTCTGCTTACAATTATCATCGTTATTGAGAAAAAAAAAAATGGCCAAGTTAATCCATTGCTATGAGTTGAACACAGGGGCCAAGATTCCTTCTCTTGGGTTAGGCACATGGCGAGTTCCACCAGGAGTTGTAGCACAAGCTGTCACCACAGCCATTCAGGCAACTAAAACTTTATCTCAAATAATTCTTATATCCCTTTTCCATAACACAATCTACCCAAAGAAAATTCCAGAGTTCCTTAATTAGTAGTTGTTTGTGTTACTTAATTCATAGCAGTTTTGGTTTGGGTTCTTTAACCAAGTGTTCCAGGACTAATTACCTATCCACCACATCTTGTGTGTCCTCAATGTGTCCAATGCATTAACCATTTAACAGAAATTCGATGAGGAATAATCTTTATCCGTACAAAGAAAAATAGATAATTTCTGCAGTGGTTTAATTTTATTACTGAGGAAATAAAATTTAGTGTAGACTTAGTCATAAAGTTTTTAGATTTATCTGTTTGGGCAAAACGTTTCTTTGTTTCGATTTTCCTAGGTAGGAGTGATACTAATTTTGTTGTCGGATCACTGGTTTTCAGGTTGGATACAGGCACATTGACTGTGCTCAAGCTTATAAGAATCAAGCAGAGGTAATAGTAATTAAAGTTGTTAACTTTTAAATTCAGGGTTCATTTTATTTTTTTAATTATTACTTTAGTGACAATAATAAGCGAACTGTTGAAGTTGTTAATTGTGGGATGTTTTAGGTTATGCTTTTAATGTTTTGTTTTCTAAAATGGAAAAGTAGAGAGAACTTAGTCAATTCTGGAAGCTAATTGACATTTTATTTGGAGCTTTGTTTTTACAGATTGGTTTTGTTCTTAAGAAGCTTTTTGATGATGGTGTGGTGAAGCGTGAGGACTTATGGATCACTTCCAAACTCTGGTTTGTTTCCTTTTGAAATTTGTGTTAGATTGTGTGTATGGTTGCTGAGTGGAGATGCTTTGCTTTGTTGGCAATGTTTTCAGGTGCTCAGATCATGCTCCAGAAGATGTACCAAAAGCTTTGGATAAAACATTACGGGATTTGCAACTTGACTACCTTGATCTCTATCTGGTATGCTTGCATGATGTTTGCTGCTACATGAGTTCATGTTGGCAACTTGAGGGAAAATTAAGTGCTCTACATTCATAGGATTTATAGAAATTGCAACTGGTTTGAGAAATAAGACCCATATGCTTAATGGGACTCACATGATTTCACTCAAAAAGAGTTTGTATGTTTGAAAAATGGGGTCAAAGGGTGTATTGTCAGCATTATTTTACAAATTATTCTTTTTTATTTGAATAAAGGTCACAGGTTCGTATCCTTTTCATTCATTATAGTCTTCAGTCTTTTCCTTCAAACGAACTAAATTGATTTGTGTTGTAGATCCACTGGCCAGTTCGCATGAAAAGTGGATCAGTTGGATACAAGAAAGAAGATCAGGAACAACCAGACATTCCCAGCACATGGAGAGCATTGGAGGCACTTTATGACTCTGGCAAGGCTAGAGCCATAGGAGTCAGCAATTTCTCTTCAAAGAAGCTTAAAGATTTGTTGGATATAGCAAGAGTTCCTCCTGCTGTTAACCAAGTTGAATTGCACCCAGGATGGCAGCAACCGAAGTTGCAAGCATTCTGTGAATCTAAAGGAATTCATGTATCTGTAAGTATGGAATGTATGATATATACTTGCCAAGAAAGCCAACTATTCCTATAACTTATCCCTTGCCAAGAAAAAGATCAGTTTTGATGAAATTGTCTGAAGAGCTTGTTGGAAATGAATTTGCCTTGATGGTTTCTCAACAACCATTCTTTATTCTTCTGATATTTGCCTTGTACTACTAATATATATGATGAATTTTTTTCAGGGATACTGTCCACTAGGCTCACCAGAAAACCTGAAAAGTGACATTCTTAAGAATCCTGTTGTCACAGAGATTGCAGAGAGTTTGGGGAAGACACCAGCTCAAGTTGCCCTTCGATGGGGATTGCAATCAGGTCATAGTGTGCTGCCAAAGAGTACTAATGAGTCCAGGATGAAGGCAAACTTGGATATCTTTGACTGGTCTATTCCAGAAGAACTACTGATGAAGTTCTCTGAAATTAAGCAGGCAAGTAGTTAGTAACTTTGGGTGTGGTTAATTTCTTTTTTCAATTCATTTAGTTTTCAAGATGCAATTAATCTTACCTGGGGTGTATTCAATTTTGTTTCAAAAACTACCTTTAGTTTTAGAGATGCAATTAACCAGGTTGCAAGACTCAGTGTATTCTTATTTCCATTGTGTTATGTTTGTGTGGCATAGCTATGAAATGGTAGGAGTGCCCTCAAAACTTATTGATGTTTTGAATTAACACATGGAATTTGGTGATGCAGGAGAGGCTAAATTCGGGCACTTATTTTGTTGATGAGACCTATGGTGTCTATAAGACGGTTGCAGAGCTCTGGGATGAACTCTGAGAAATGTTCATCATTGAGATGTTGTCAAGTACAATGTTCCTCAAGCAGATTGGTTCTGTCTTTTTACCTGTCAACATCTTAAAGCCACCAGTTACAGTGATTCAAGTGTGTTGAGATTTTTAGTAGTGTTATTATGTTAAGAACTAAGTAACCGAGTCCTAATTTTTCATTTATGCTTATTGTATCTTTTATTCGATCTAAGAAAACCAGTAAATTTGACAGGTCTAGTAACCAAATGAATTTATATTCTGTTGAAGAGTAAAAATAAGAAAAATATAATTAAGTAGTTAAAAGTAATAATTAATATTGTATTGGATTTACAATTATATGTTTTATTTGATTAATAATTGTAGAGTTTGATTTAAAGCCATGAAAGCCAATGATGTTTTGTATAATTAGCATGTTCAAACTATTTGAAAAAAAAAAAATCTAAGTTAAAACATATTTTAACATATTAATATAATCTAAACATATTTTTTTATCATTTTATTATTTTTTTTAATTCTATTTTCATTTTCGTCCTTAAAACACAAATATACCTTTAAATAAATTATATGAATCTCAATAACACAAGAGATGATTTATGATCTTTAGAGTTAGAATCTTATAAAAAATTTAAGAATTTAGTGATAAGGTGGAAGGAAAGAATCACTCTTCCTAAGGAAGACAACTCACAAAGGATGTGAAAATCATTTGATACAGTCAAAGGTTCTTGAATCACTTAAGAAGTTAGGAAAATCACTCTCAGATAAACTCTAATATTTCTTAATAAAATTTCACTTGTTATTTTTGATAAAAATGGTTCAGCCTATATAAAAGCTTTGTCATCAAAATTACAAAGATTCAATAAAGGAAACTAAATGTTAATAATGATTCATTAACGTATGAATTGAAAACTACTTAATGGAGACAAATAAATGCTAATAATGATCCATTAACCTAGGAATTGATACTACTTTATGACTGATTATAACTGAAATTGTGGCAACCAAAAGTCAATCAACTATACACTCGATAAATAAATTTCCAATTTAACCCTTATTACAACTTGTAATAAAATTAAACTAAAATTTATTAATTGATTAATCCAAAACACAATTTGACCAACAATACTTGTTAAAGAGTTTCATTTATTTCTCCTTACTCTAATCATTGTCATTGGTAATGAATGTTCAAATCAACAAATCAATCATATTAAAATATTTTTATTATTATGTTATTAATAATTATTAATTGATTTTATTAGTTTTTATTATTATTTAATATCTGGAATCCAAAGTTAATTGTATCATTTGAGTAACATTTTATACATAAATTAAATATCCCATTTTATGGAATTTCAGTCTTATGTGATAGTATGTTATCAACACTAACATTTTAACATAATAAACTAATTAATTATACCTTTATTTTTTTGTTATGTTATTTATTATATATTTTCATAAGATTATGTAACCATAATTATTAAAATTATCAATAATAAATTTATTGACAGTGTTTAATAATACTTTGTAGTATAAAATTTAAAATTGAGCGTTGACATCAGAAAACAAAAACATCAATTCATAATCTATTTTTAGATTTTTATATTATTATTTATTTATTTATTTTATTTCAACATCAATAAAAAAATTAAAGTTGTTAATAAGATATTTGTAAAAATAGGTTGTAAAAAATATTTTCCTTGAAGATTATATATATATAAAAGGTTGATTTTGATGAAATCCTGCGTTAAAGCTATGCATGTCACAAGGTTTCAATGGTTAATAAGCTCTTAAAAATAATAATTGTAATGTAATTTATATTATTATATATTCAAATAATATAATATATAAATTATAATAATTTAAATTTACCTCTTGTGTATTCATAAAAATATTGTGTTTTCTTTGGTTTAGTGGATGAAAAGTGATAAAATAAAATTTAAGTAATTTGAGAGAAAGTGAGTAAAAGGTAAAATTATTTTATTGTTTAATAGAGAAATAGTGAAAATGGATGAAAAATTAATGGTATATGTGATTAATTGGATTGTAAATACGTAAATTGATAAGTGTTTTTGTTAGGATAATATAATATACACTTTAAGAAAAAAATATCCTTTAAGCTTTTTTTTTCTTGAAAATATAAATTGTTATGAAAAAATATTAGTAAAGAAATTTAAGAATTTCGCATTTGAAAATTGAAAAATATTACTCATTAATCCAAATTAATAAGTATTAAAAAAATTAAAGAAAAAACCATTAAATATAAAAAACAAAAACTAAATTTTAAGGAGAAAACAACCTTAATACAAACCATGCTCACAAAAAATCGTTTAATTTATTTTTTTCCTTAACCTCATACCATATTTTTCACACTTTATATATAAATACTTTCAAATAAATTCAATAAAATCCAATAAATCTTCTTAAACTCTTTTAAATAATAAACACTGATCCAGACAAACTCTGACTAAAAATTATATATATATATATATATATATATATATATATATATATTAAAATAACAAAATAAATTAGTTAGAATGTATTACTTCGCAAAATCACTAAAAAAAAAAGTTGATGAATGGTTTTAACTCGTCATTTTAATTTAATCTATTTAATATAGCAGTTCGATAAGTTAAGAATGAGATGGATGGAGTGACCCACTTAAAAAAATTATATATTAAAATTAAAAAATATATATTTTATATTATATCATAAATATATGAATATATTATAATTTAAATTATAAAAATTAATCAATTAAATTTAAATTATTAATTATAATTAATTATTTTAACATATAAATATAATAATTTTTTTAATTTATTTAATGAAAATGTTAATTAATAAAAAAACTTAAAAATTATTTATATAATTAAAAATATATTTTAAAAAAATTCATATAAAAATATTTTATATAAAAAAATTATTCTAGCACTTCATTAGCTCCGCTTATTCCGATGTACATCCTATATATTATAACATCTCTAATCAGAAAATTTACTTAACATAAAAATAGATATTTTATTATAAATTTTACATATAAGTTATTTAAATTTAAAAGAATTATGTAATAAAATATCTATTTTATTTCTAATAATTGATAAAAAAACTATTTAAAATATACCTTGGAATCTATAAAAAAGAAGTTAATATAAAATCCAAAATGGAAGTTAGAAACCATCTTTCACTTTATTCATAGTCAACATCAAGTACATGTTTGTGTTCGTACATGACGTGTGTGCTTATGTTAAGCCGCTTTCCAGAGTATTCATATAAGGACCAAACAACTTGTAATCACGTTTTCCCACACTCAATCCAAACCATTAATAAAGATCCCACGGTTCACATCCACCAAACCGCACCGTCTCCACCGGCCACTGCCTGGTGTTCTGGTTTTTGCCTTTAAATACATTAACTGCATCGAACCAAAGCCGAAGTGAAAACACCCATTGCTAGTGTTGGATATCTCTAACTAATTGTGCTTATTATTGTCATTACTACTATTGTTGAAAAAGAATGGGCAACTTAATCAAATTCTTCGAGTTGAACACAGGGGCCAAAATCCCTTCTCTTGGGTTAGGCACATGGCAAGCTGAACCAGGAGTTGTAGCACAAGCTGTCACCACAGCCATCAAGGTAGATAAAACTTTACTTCAATTAGTTTTTAATCCCTCTTTCAGCATATAATCTACCCAAAGAAAATTTCCATGTTCCTTAATTGATAGTGGGTTGTGTTCCTTAATTGATAGCAGTTTGGGTTTGGGTTCGTTAACTGAGTGTTCCAGGATTAACTACCTATCCACCACATCTTGTGGTTCCTCATTGTGTCCAATGCGTTAATCATTTAATATAATTTTGATGAGGAACAACCTTTATCCATATAAAAAAAATAGATAGTTTCTCCAGTGGTTTAATTTTATTACTGAGGAAATAAAATTTAGTGTAGACTTAGTTATAAAGCTTTTAGATTTATCTGTTTGAGCAAAAAGTTTCTCTGTTTCGATTTTCCTAGGTAGGAGTGATAACTAATTTTGTTGTCGGGTCACTGGTTTTCAGGTTGGATACAGGCACATTGACTGTGCTCAAGCTTATAACAATCAAGCAGAGGTAATACTAATAAAAGTTGGTAACTTTTGAATTCAGGGTTCATTTTTTTTTTTTTTTTTATCTTTTTAATTATTAATTTTGTTATATTGCCTTTGCACTATATGTGAACTGTGAAAAATTGTTCATTGTGGGATGTTTTAGGTTATGCTATTACTGTTTTATATAATTTTGTTTCTAGAAACAGAAAAGTAGTGAGAACTCAGTCATTTCTGGAAGCTAATCGACATTTTATTTTGAATTTTGGTGTTTACAGATTGGTTCTGCTCTTAAGAAGGTTTTTGATGATGGTGTGGTGAAGCGTGAGGACTTATGGATCACTTCCAAACTCTGGTTTGTTGCCTTTTGAAATTTGTGTTAGGTTGTGTGTGTTTGATTGCTGAATGGAGATCCTTTGCTTTGTTGGCTATATTTTCAGGTGCTCAGATCATGCTCCAGAAGATGTGCCAAAAGCTTTGGATAAAACATTACGGGATTTGCAACTTGACTACCTTGATCTCTATCTGGTATGCTTGCATCGTGTTTACTGCTGTATGAGTTCATGTTGGCAATTTGGGGGAAGATTAAGTGCTCTACATTTATAGGATTTATAAGATTTTCAACTAGTTTGAGAAATAAGATCCATATACTTAGTGGGACTCACATGATCTCACTCAATAAGAGTGTGTCTTTGAAAAGGGGTCAAAGAGTATGTTGTTAGCATTATTTTACAAATTAAGCTTTCTTAATTAGATGAAGTTCAATGGTTTCACATTCATGTAATGCTGAGTTTGGTTATCAGGTTCATTTCCTTTTCATTCATTATTTTCTTGAGTATCCTTCAAACAAACTAAATTGACTTGTGGTGTAGATCCACTGGCCAGTCCGCATGAAAAGTGGATCAAATGGATTCAAGAAAGAATATCTGGCCCAACCAGACATTCCCAGCACATGGAGAGCAATGGAAACACTCTATGACTCTGGCAAGGCTAGAGCCATAGGAGTCAGCAATTTCTCTTCAAAGAAACTTCAAGATTTGTTGGACACAGCAAGAGTTCCTCCTGCTGTTAACCAAGTGGAATTGCACCCAGGATGGCAGCAACCAAGGTTGCATGCGTTCTGTGAATCTAAAGGAATTCATCTATCTGTAAGTATGGAATGAATATATGCTTTCACATAAAAGCCAGTTATAAATTATCACTTTCAAAGAAAATGATCACTTTTGGTGAAATTTTCTGCAAAACTAGTTGGAAATGAATTTGGCTTATACTCATGTTAAATTGATGGTTTCTCTGATATTTGCCTTGTAACTATATATATGATGAATTTCTTTTCAGGGATACTCTCCACTAGGCTCACCAGGAAATCTGAAAAGTGACATTCTTAAGAATCCTGTTGTCTTAGAGATTGCAGAGAAATTGGGGAAGACACCAGCTCAAGTTGCCCTTCGGTGGGGATTGCAATCAGGTCATAGTGTGCTGCCAAAGAGTACTAATGAGTCCAGGATCAAGGGAAACTTTGATATCTTTGACTGGTCTATTCCAGAAGAACTAATGGCCAAGTTCTCTGAAATTAAGCAGGCAAGTACTTAGTTGCTTAGGGTGTGTTTATTTCAGTTAACCAGATTGCAAATCAGAGGGTAGAATTGAGGAAGAGTTGAATGAGAAACATTCTGTTTTTAAAGCCTTTAAATTACTTATTTTGAAAAAAAATTCACAACTTCATAGATTTTGGATGATAAATTGGCAAAAACATAAAAAGATTTTGGATGACTAATGGACTGCTGTGTAAGTACACTGAAATTGTCGTAGAAAACATTTTTTGCAAAAACAAAAGGAAAGTATGATAAGGGAATTAAACATGCCCTTAGTATAACTAGTTTTTCTGTTCTTTCTCTTCTTGACATTTATTTCCTTAACATCTCCTACTACATTGTATTATGCTTTTGTTATAGCAACAAAAATGCTAGAAGTGCCCTTAAAGCTTATTGATATTTTGAATTAACACATGGAATTTGCTCATGCAGGATAGACTAATTAAGGGCACTTTTTTTGTTGACGAGACCTATGGTGCCTACAAGACAGTTGAAGAGCTCTGGGATGGTGAACTCTGAGAAATGTCCATCATTGAGATGTTTCCAAGTACACTGTTCCTCTAGCAGATTGGTGCATTCTATCTTAAACTCACCATTTATAGTGATTCAAGTGTGTTGAGATTTTTAGAAGTATTATCATGTTAAGAACACAGAATAAGTAACCAAGTCTTATTTTCATTTATGCTTATTTGTATCTTCTATTCGATATAAGAAAACCAGGGAATTTGTCAGAATTTGACGGTCTGGTAGCCAAATGAATTTATATTCATAATGCCAATAATACATTGTGTTTATGATGTTTTTAATCATGTTAGAATGTTCTATGGCTTAATTTTGATTATATAACTATATATGAATAGTTATTTAGATAAAATTAATCTTCATTACAATAAATACATATTATTTAACTTTCTCATTTTTACGTGACTGTGACTTAGACTGACATTGGATTTCAAAATCTCGAATGGGAGTTACTTCACATTAATATATCTTCAAGATCATTAATGATCTTGTATTATTATTCATCGAAATGAGACACGTGTTGATATAAGATCACTCTTAAATAGGGGTCAGCTCATCAACCATTAACTCACTTTGAGAGACAAACCCAGCACGATTTTGTTATTGAAAAGTTTCATGATAGTATGATAAATGAGAAGAGAATCTATAAAGTCATATCGGGAACATGAAGTCTTTCTTGAATCATATGAGCGCGACGCGGGATATAAAAATAAAAAATATTTTATTTCTAAATTAAAAAACAAGTTTTTCTTGAAAAAAAAAGTGAGTTTTTAAATAAAACATTAAAAACAAATTATCGTACTTAACACACCCTCCTCGTGGAATTTTTTATTCTGTAACTTGCAAGTGGACGTGACTATCTAGATTGGCATTTGCGATAAATCAAACAAATTCGTTGATTTCATCGTCTCGTAGAGAATACAACATTTGCTTTGCGCAATTAAGCTCACACCAGTTGACCTATTCGTTACGCCGTTCTCTCTGTGGTCACGGCCCCAGGCTCGGTTACGTTCTGCACCGTCGATAATGGCCGGCGATGATATTCGATTCTTCGAGCTGAACACCGGCGCAAAGATACCTTCCGTTGGTTTGGGCACGTGGCTCGCTGAACCTGGCGTTGTTGCTCACGCCTTGACCACCGCAACAAACGTTCCTCACTTTCACTACTGCTATTCATTTCATAATTTGTCTTTCATCTAGCATCACTTTGTTTTTAAACTTTTATAGATTGAGTATTTCGTTCTTAAATAAAAAAAAAATTCAGAAACCTTGAAGTTAATAATTTAGAAAAGCTATATGAAAAGTGCTTGAATTCAGAGAAATTACATCGTAGTTAAGAATTTAGAGCAGTTGTATGTAGAAATTTTACAAATTATTTTATATATAATCTAATTTTAATTTTTAAAAAGTGCTATTCATTTTTTTCTTGTCATTTAGCTTTCTTTCACGTTTTGTTCAAAAAGATTACAGGAAGTTTATGGATAATCATGTGTAATCTATTAGGTAAAATATATTTTTATTCTTTAGAATGTTCATATCACTTGGTGACACTCCACTTGATGATGCCAAATTAGATGGTTTGTAGAGTTTGCTTAGTTCTGCGAATAAGGTGTACTCGAATAACATACAGGGAACGGAACCTTGTAGAAAAAACGGTTCCGGAGACTTTATTGAGAAAGAGTTACATGAATCAGATCAAGGTACACAAATGAATATGAATACCACTCTATGGCCAAGAGTTTCTTTGCCATATATAGCTAACCAACTGATCTAACAAATTCAGTTTAACAGCTAACAGCTGTTGCTGAAATATCATAACAAAAAGTTATTATTATGTTATCTGCTGGAAACAGTTGTGTAGTTACTAAAAGTGTTGAAAAAAATTCAAGCCATTAGAGTGAAATGAAGAAATTTAGAGATGAAATGTTAGTAAATATTGTCTTTCATGAAAAGAAGAAAAATATTCAAAATCTACTCATTTTTCTTTGTTTTTGTTGTGGTTATTTACTGATATGTATGGTTTTGGAACAAATATGACTTCTTGTGGCTCAACGTTACAATAACGATGCAGGTTGGGTATCGGCATATAGATTGTGCGCAAATTTATGGAAACGAGAAGGAGGTGAGAGTTATATGCTTATTTTAATCTTGTGTTATTTTGTTCTGTTTTCATCAAATTGAGGTTTGGGTTCGCTCAGCTAACTGCTGTTCGAATTTGGTCCATTTGGTTCTCTTTCATCCTTGTGCTAGACAAGACATGAGCGAATAAGGTCACTGAATACACAAGTGAAGATGGTAAACTGTATGAATTTTAATCGTGCGAAAATGGGAGAGAAAGATCAAGAAGAACATTGAAAAAAGTTGTAAAGAAGGATCTCAGCATAAATAATATATCTAAGATTTACTCTTCAAGGTGAAATGGTACTGTGGGATCTACATAGAGAACCTCGCTTGCTGAGATAAGACTTTTATCAGTGCTGTTTGTTTTTGGGATAAAAATTTAAAGCTTCAGTACATGCGGTTCACGTAGTCAATTTCATTACTTTGTTTGTAAACTATAGACACATAAAAATTTAAAAATAAATTAAATATTTCAGGAATTTAATTAGGATGTATTAATATTATAAATCATATTCACAGTGTTATCCAATCGTAGATTATTATAAATGGTGAGATTATTTACGTCTGTAAGAGTTCATTAAAGGGTTATTTGTTCTTGATTGACACTTATAATTTACACTGACTATATTAAACTTAAACTCATATTTTAATTGTTTTCCTGCTTAATAGATGTAAGAAACTTGGTACATAATGCTTATTTCAACATGTAGTCCGGCAGTAGTAAATATATTATTGTTCTTTAGTAAGAAAGCTAGCTGTCGGGGATAAACAACCAGAGGTGAGAGAATAAGGAAGCTTAAGGGTATGCATAAATAGTTTACGGTGAAAATAGATCACAGACTTAATGAAATTAGACCAAAGGCAGTCCAACGTAAGACTTTAGTAAAGCATTGTGAAAATGGAGTCCTTATTGTTCCTGCAAAGACACTCTAGAATCTAGTTCTTACCAATTCTTCTTGGAACAGATGGTTTGGTCTAAACTTAGGGTCCTTAATGATCTTGTCTGGCTTGTACGGTTTGTCATTTGAGGAGGAAAAAACTATATCCAGTCAAGTTAGCTAAACCAAAGTAATATAGTGGTATTACAAAACTAGGATAATCCAGATCATATAAATTTGTAAATAGGATTTTGCTCATTTGAGAATGTAGAAATGTTCTACTAGCCAATCGGTTTATTTTTGCGTAATTGAACTGAGTTTCTCTCCTTTTGAAGCAGAAATAAACACAAGAGAGTCAAGGTTGATTATCTTTTTTTCTTTTCACAATAAAACTGCTTTTGGATGTCTGGAGATCATGCAATCAGCACTGCAGTTAAAATTTATGGTGCCAAAAGTGGTCCTGTATATAATATAGAATTGAATTTTCTATCAAAACATTTTATTGATCTTAAAGTGAGTTTTACACCACGAGAATGAAAAACTGCAGGACCAAGAATTTAAGCGCTTCCGTGATTATGTTAAAATTAGTTTCAAACATTCATCTCTGAAGTCTAAACAGGTTTCCTCATAATTGTAAATATATGTTCAGCATGTTAGATTCACCATCTACTCAAGCTTGTTTTGTAGATAAGTAAAGATTTCATTCTGAATTTGTTTCTTTATTTAAACAACAGCTTCAGTTTCCCCATTTACGAAAAGTGAAGAATAGTTCTGTTACACCCCTAAAATGAGTTTGAATACATATATGGTCATCTTTTTTCCCTCTTACCTGCTCACATTCTGTAGTTTAAAGCAAGAAACATGATCAAGGCCACGATAATGTGCATTTCAACTTTGAGTACGTTGTTTGCTGAGTTGATTTTTTTTTTTTAAGTGTTACAATTCTTAGCCTCTTTTTCTAAAACATTGCTGTGGTACTCTACTCTCTCTAATAACTTTTGTAAATTTTATGTAGATTGGTGATGCCTTGAAGAAGTTGTTTGATGATGGTGCAGTTAAGCGTGAAGATATGTTTATCACCTCCAAGCTATGGTATGTCTACTATATACTTACTCAATGATTGTCAAATTATTTTGCTGTCAAGCTTATCTACGCAATCACATTAGGAGAATCCTTGAGATCTTTAGTTGTTTCCCTCTTAATTAGTAAGTATTGAAAATACAATTTAAGAGGTCAGCACTCCACAGTATTTTCTTTGAGTTAGCTTTTAGAGGATTAGAAAGGGTTGTTTATTTGAGAATCTGATTATATGATAAGTTTTGCAAGATAGGGTTCGTTATCGACAAATTAGCAAACCATGTCTGAATCCATGTTAAGAAAATCACTCACAATTTAGTGCCCAACCATGTTTTGTGTAGGATTGCTTCTTATGGAGGACACCCGAGCAAATCCAATTAAAAAATAATTATTTTCAATTCTTCAAACTTTTGAACAAAGATTTTGTTTTATTTGAATGTGGACATAATTTCTTCACTTATCTTGGTATCCACCAAAGAAACCTTCACTTGTGAAAATAGTTCTTCCTCTCTTAAAACACAAGCTATTGTTTTTTTATCATATATTATTGTATAAAATCATGAACAAATTTATGGGAAGCAAAGTACTTTCCCACTAGCAAAGTCAACTGACTTCTGGCATCTAATCAAATGGTGCTTGCTAATTTTTTCTTAAACATGATTACATACTTGATTGTTCTGATGCTGTAATTACATTCTTTGTATCTAATTTAATGTGCCCATGTTTTAGGTGTAATGATCACTTGCCGGAAGATGTCCCGAAGGCTTTTGATAGAACTTTACGTGACTTGAAACTGGACTATTTGGATCTCTACCTTGTGTGTAAATCATATAAAATCAATTTCTTTCTACATCAATTTATGTTAGAAATATTATATAGTGTCATTCGAGTCATGTACTTATGTTAAAAGCTTGATTTTCCATGTCTATATTCTTATAGATTCATTGGCCAGTGAGCGCAAAAAACGGACAGCTTACCAAACCTGACATACTTAGCACTTGGAGAGCAATGGAAGCACTCTACAATTCTGGCAAGGCTCGAGCTATAGGGGTCAGCAATTTCTCTGTAAAGAAGCTTCAGGATCTGTTGGATGTGGCACATGTGCCTCCAGCTGTTAACCAAGTTGAATTGCATCCTTCTTTACAGCAACCAAAATTGCATGTTTTCTGCAAAGCCAAGGGAGTGCACTTATCAGTGAGTATTTAAATTTATGGTCGTTATCATAATTATACATGGTACGTAAGTATACATGTCTGATTATATTGATCTTGAAGGAGTCATTGAGTATAGTACAAATTTTGTATCAACTTCGGTGTTATCATAAAAAATAATGTTTTGTAAACCAACTAGGGCCGGCCTAGTAATGAGGGTTTTGGTGGTTTATAAGAGGTCATAGATTTTAACCTCAGCATGATTGTTGTAAAAAAAAAAAAAACCTGAAATGTTTTTTACTCTGAACTGCAATTTTGTGTACTATTATTCATCACTCACTAATGTTCTTCTTCAGGGTTATTCACCTCTGGGTAAGGGATTAAGTGAAAGTAATCTCCTTAAAAACCCAGTTCTGCACACGACTGCAGAGAAGTTAGGGAAAACTCCAGCACAAATAGCTCTCAGATGGGGACTACAAATGGGTCACAGTGTACTTCCTAAGAGTACAAATGATGCTAGGCTCAAGGAAAACTTTGATCTATTTGATTGGTCTATACCTGCAGATTTGCTTGCCAACTTCTCTGACATTGAGCAGGTTAGACTTCTTTCATGCAATCTTCTGATCGAGATTTTTTTTTTTTTAAATAAGTTAAATTAATACCCAAATCCTGTGAAAGCCTTTCTTGTTTCATTTAGCATTTTACTTGCTATACAAGTATGATATTAAAATCGGTTTATGCGGTAACTGCTGAAGCCATTGCAAAAATGTTAAAATTCAGTGAAAACATACATTCATGGTCTAAATTAAATTTTCTGATTTACTGATGCAGGAGAGAATAGTTACTGGAGATGCTTTTGTTAGCAAGACATCTCCTGGATACAAGACAATTGAAGAACTCTGGGATGGTGAATGAACAGTTTTCGTAATAGCCATTTTTCTTTTCTCTCACTTAATGCAATGAGCCTATCTTTATGATTGTTGTAATGATTTACAATTTATTTATAGTTTGGAAAATAAGCTGTATCGTGATAAGTTTGGAGTCTAAGTTGATAGTTTTTCAATTTCGAATTGTTAAATATTTGGTTTATGTATTGCATGACACTTCATATTTTTGTTTCAGTTTAATAAGTAAATAAATTCCTATAGTGTTACTTTTACTTGAAGATTAAGTTAGTCAGTTACTATTTTTACTTGGGAAACGTTGAACGAATAATTTATCTAAAAATTTCTACTCTATGTATACACTTTTTATTTATTTTTTTAGATTATAACAGGAAGAATACTAATAAATTTTTTTTTCATTTTCTTTATAATTGAAATTTATTTGAGAACACTTATCACAATGTTTTGAAAATTGGGTTAGTTAATTACTGACTTTGTCAATCATTCAAAATTCAATAGTCAAACTGGTATAAATAAATAATATCATAATTAAATATATAATATAAAAAATATAAAATATAAAATGTAGTTTCATAATTTACACATTAAGTCTCAAAGTTTCCCCATGATTATTTGTTTATAAGGTAAGAATACATACTATAAGAACCAAAAGTTTGGATCGAATATTGTTTTTTCTGAAGATGCAAATGTTTTGCCAATCTCTAGTTTCAAAGTCTCATTTTATATTAGTTGTTACCTACCTCAAAAAAAGAATATATTCTACAAGTTTTAATTAATTTATGAATTTTTCAATTAAATAAGTTGGTATGATCCAATTTTGGTGGGTTCACTTCTAGATGAAGGGAAGAGTAATGAGAAATGAATATCAAAATGAGTGATTTTTAATAAATATTAACTATTGAAAAAAGAGTGTAAGAGATATATGATGGAATATTTGCACGGCAGTTTGGTTAGATTTTATATTAAAAAGCTATTGGAATCAAACATAAAATTTAATTTGATTGGTTTTAATTTTTTTTAAATTCAAACCGAACAGAATTAAATCTTGTGGCATATTACAGTTTTTATTATTATAAAATTATTAAATATATTATAATAAATAAATATATTATATAAATATAATATATAATTAATTATAATATTTATAATTTTAATTTATTTTAACATTCAATTAATATAATAATAATACATATAAATTATAAAAAAATTAATGGCTCATCCACAGAAACACACATATAAAAAATATATAAAAATTAAAAATAAATATAATTAAAATAATTTATCTACAAATAAAATATTATGAAAAATTAAAATTAATAATAGAAATACCTTCAAAATATATTTTCTCAATAAAAATTAAAATTATATAAATATATAGTTAAACATGCCAAATTTTACCATTTACAGTTATAATACTTTAAATAATTTTACTAAATAAATCCAATTTAATAAATTATAACTTAACAACTTTCAAAGATGTGTTAAATTTTCAGTTTTCAGCTAGTTTTTCTAAATATAACCTGTGCATTAAATTTATTAAAATATTATTTTGTTGATTTTTACCTCACCGTAGGTGACAATTTCGTATCAATTTGATCACCTAATCATAAAATTATTTTATTTTATTTATTTTACTTATTATTATTAGATGATAGAATTTGTAATTATTTACTAAAGAAATGTTATATTTACTTCTTTTCTTTTCAAGTGGTTTACTACCACGATTTTTTATATACTTTTAATAGCTTATAGAAAACTTTTTCATAATTTTTATTTTATAGATTATTTATATACAATAATAATATTTTTTTAATAGAGTTTTTTATGAACAAAAGTTTTTCAATTTTATACTTTGATATTATTATTAAAGCATCTTCAATGGTGACCTTGGGTACTTAGATGAGATCCACAACTCTTTTCAAATTTTTATAAATTCACTTCAATCGTGAGTTCTTATAAACAACTCATCATTCAACGATTATTTTTTATTTTAACTGAACTCACTATGTCATGTCAAGTAATAATTATAATATATAATTAATTATTAAAATAAAATAAATAATATATTTAAATTAAAAATAAAATTGACATTGGAAATACGATTAACATTAATTAAAATACAAAATATTAAACAACAATGACAATAAAAATAAACAGAAAAATATTAGACATATAAAATGATAAATGGATGTTAACACATAATTTACTTTAGTTATTAATGAAGTTTACCTCCTTGAGACACCAACGAGTTACTTTCGTGTTAATATTTCTCTCTGATTTGTTGAGTTGTGTTGGTGAGAACCGCGAGAACAAACCGAACAAAATTGAGAAAAACAATTCTTAAGAACATTACTTCTACATAACGCAATTCTTAACTTTTCAAAACTCGTTGCTGTCACGTCATATTGTTCCAACGACAGTTCCTTATAAACAAGCAACATTACTTATAAGTAACTAGGGACATAAGCTACTTCCGTTGGAGTTACTTTTAAGATGCATTATTAACTTGAAACCTATGAAAATCAAAATGAAAAATACCTATTTAAATTTTAAACATAAAATAAAATAGAATTATCAAAATTGAAACTGTTATTTATTATTATTTTTATTAATCATGGCTATTATTTTATTATTTTGACCACCTAATAAATTGTTTTAGGATTTATTTAGACTAACTTATTCATAAATACTTATACAAGAAAAACAAGAAAAAATACTTTTATTATATAAGATTAGTTGGTGCATAATTAAAAAATAAAAATATAGAGAAGTTATATGAACATAAACTTATGCATAAACTAATTGAGGTGTCTTGACACTGGCTCTACGAAGAGAAATGTTTTTGAATTTTAAAAAAATTACGTTAGTTAATTGAAAATATTTATAGTTGATAATTATTATGATGGAAGATGTATATATTTTTTTAGTTAATAATTTTAATCCTTTTTTTTTGTCTATTCATATCAATATAAAAGAATTATAAAAAATAGAAATCATTTTTTGAAGTGCGAAATTATTTTATAGTTTTAAAAAGAGTATATTGTGCGCATTACTCGGTCATATTTTGGTTGACGAGTGGCACCGAACACGTGACAGAAGCAAACACTATAAAATCTCCCGCCCCGGTGAGACGTTCAGCTTTTGTAATTCTTTTCGGTTTGCGAGACAAATGTCGAACGAAATTCGCTTCTTCGACCTCAACACGGGAGCCAAGATCCCTTCCGTCGCCTTGGGAACTTGGCAGTCCGATCCCGGCGTTGTTGCTCAGGCCGTCGCTGCTGCCATCAAGGTTTTATCATTTCCATTTTCATTTTTCTTTTTAAATTTTAATTTGATTGCCTTTCTCACTTGATGTTTGTTGCTACTAACCATTACATTGCACTGACTCATTCTTGATATTTGTGCGTAAATATGACTCATGTGACTGTAATTGCAGACTTGCAAACTCCTAATGTCCAGATGCAGACAAATGTCACTAATGTGTAATTATAGTCTTATGATGTTGTGTCTCTAACAATGGTGATGGTAGTGGCAGAATAATTATATGAGCGCTACAGCATTTCATGTTACATCCATCATGATTGCAGTCGTTATAGTTACGGTCGTACATGTATCATTTTAACCATGATTATCTTTGCATGGCTGTTACTATCCAGCACGATAATAACAGTAACGATGATCATCGTTACTGTGTCATGGTTGTAGTGGCATAATGATAATGATCAGAAATCTTTTATAAATTTGATTTTTGTTGTGTGAAATTTTATCGGCCATGATATTTTAATATGAAATTATTTTGGTGTTTTGCTCTTGATCATTTATTATTTTAGGTTTATTCCATCGATTGTCGTTAGTTGTTGAGGTTTTTTCACAAAGTAATTTGTTAATGTACTTTTTTTTTAGTTAGAAATTAGAATACAGTAACAAGGTACATTTTAGATGAATTTTAGTTAAGTTGTAATTATAATTTGTTATACTTGACTTATAAAAAGTGGGTGCGCGAACCTCACTAGCATTTGCCAATAAACACTTGCTATTTAGATAGAATATGCCACCGGTGAGAATATTTAAAAGAAGATAGTCCTCTTAGTTATAACGTGCTATCATACTCCAACTATGTCTATGCATCTATGATAACCTTAACAGCTGATTTATTCTAGTTATGCCACACATTTTATCATCTGAAGTATATCACTTGTTTTATTGAGTCCAATCCTATTGTGGCACCTGGCACTACTGAGATACTGTAGCCCCGCCCCATAATGTTATTCGCATAAAACCTTGGATCATACAGTTAGTTATATCGAGCAATATACTAGTTTTCACAACGCTTCTCTAACTCGTTTTTATTCGCCAGCTCGATCTACTGCTTCCTGGAAGTTTCTCTACTTTAGAAATTTGCATGATGGGGGATTCTTTGGTTCATTTTTTGTGTTGCTGGATTCAATCTATATTTCTTATAATCCAAATAAGTTGGGTGAACATAGGGTCCCCAAGGATCTTTAGTATCTATGTGTTAATTTTAAAGGATTTAGCACTTGGGGAGGGATTCCTAAAAGTGTTGTTATTCTTAGTTTTCAGTATTTAGGCGTATCTTATTGGAATAAAATATTAGAATCTTTGTTGGATGCCATTTTTTTAATGAATTCAGTAGCTTTTCATTCTTATTTGTGCTATTCTACTCATGCTCCTTTGCGGTAGGTTTGTTAGATTTACAGAGAGATTGGCATGTTTTCTTGCATGTTTCATGTTCTTAGTTTTCTCGTTTTATTCCTTTAATCTTTGGTCTTGATTTCTTTAGTTTTTGAGGATTTTTTATCCCCTTGCATCTGTACCTTTCTGTTCTATCTTAGTAAATTCTTTGTTTATCTAAATAAGATTGTGATTTTGTTTTTTCGTTTGCGACAACCAACTAGTTTCAGTTTCCCTCCCTGTGCATGCAAATATAAGCTACATCAGCTATATTAGTATCCATTTTCACTTTTTCCCAATCTGGAAATCTGTTATTCA